TTTGTTTTTTTATGCAACCTTTTTCCCTTTTATTTTTGTTCGTTCCTTACTCCGTCTCCTGTTAATGTTTCTTCATTTTATTTCAGGTTTTGTTTTGTGTTGTCAATGGGTGTTGTTAAAAGGTAAGCTTTCCTTTTTTTTTTTTGGCTACAAAACCATAGACATTCATGTATGTGTTGCATAATTAGTGATCGTTATGATTCACTTCATTTGCATTCTAATCTCATTTAAGAATTTATTTGTCTAAAGATTGATAACATGCTTACATCTCTCTCAGATAATTCATTCCATATTTGGTTTTGGCTTAATATTTAGTTAAATGTATACTGCTATTATATGATAGTATTGAAAATGTCAACTTTGGATTCGCAATAATTGGGATGAAGAGTATTAGCAGTTAAAGTATTAGGAGAATGTTTATTTGCAAGTAAAAAGAAAAATGTTTGTTTGATGATGAATAATCTAATCTAATCTAAAAATGAAAAAAAATTAGTTTCTTAATCTTAAGCTAGAAATTAAAACCAAAACATTGTTTGTAGTGTTTTTTTAATCATATTCAAGTAAAATTTTGTTTTTAGGAGAATGTTTTTTTGCAAGTAAAATTTTGTATTAAAAGAATGTTTGTTTGATGATAAATAATATAATCTAAAAATGGAAAAAATTAGTTTCTTCATCTCAAGCTAGAAAGTATGAAAAAAAAAAAATATGGAGCACTAAAGAGCTCCGTGGTGTCTGGACACCACAGAGCAAACACTCACACCACGGAGCATTTGCTCCGTGGTGTCCACTCACACCAGATTAAAGTGGTGGTGGCATGTGGCAACAGTTGTCGAGTAAGGAAATTGGTTTGTTGAAAAGTTGGTGCACTCACATTGGTTGAACATTTACCAGCCAGTAACACTAAAGTATCCAATGTTGGTGATTAAAAAATTAACTTATTTTTCCTTTTAAATATTTTTTAATACTTCGATTCCAAACATGCTTTTAATATTTGTAGTTTAAAAAGTTGCTAAAAACATAAATTAAAATCAATAATTAATTTTACTAGCATATTTTATAAAATATTTTTTAATCACAT